TGTCTACACACAAGCCTGCCATCAGTTTAACTAAAATCACTATTTAATCCATTTAGAGCAATCAGCACAACCCTTTTTTTTTGGGTAACCAAATTAACCTAAATCAATACAAGCCTGTTGCAGAGACAAACAATTTAAGGACACTGACATCAAAACCTGCATTAACTCAGGCGGTGTAAGTTTTGTGGCAAGGCAGGAGCTCAGGTCAAGCCAGGGATATGCTGCCATGGTTCTTTTTACACCATAGAGCTGTGCCAGAAGCACATTCAGCAGCAGCTTTGAGTTGAGTTGCCCATGTTACATGCATGGTCTGGATCCCCACTGCTTCTCTGGGCTATGCCCTGCTGTGTTCACGAGCTGCCTCCTCTTCCCAGCCCTGAACCCTGCATGACAAACCCAACCTGTCTCCTGGGGGAGCTTTAGGGGAGAGGTTTAAGACATGGCTTGCTCCTGTAGAAATCATTCAGCTTCAATGGCCCAGGAAACCTTGTTTAAACTCTATTCTCTAGTGCTGAAAAACATGAGAGTGTAAGTACAGACACAGCCCTTTCTGACAACAGCCTGCTCCCCAGTGTTTGCAGCTGCCTGGGCAGGAGACCAGGTCTCCTCTCCAGAGACCTGTTGCACCCTTCTGCTGGGAGACAAGGAGGAAAACACCAGCAGTAGCAGCTGGCCAGGGTACAGGCTGTTCCCCCAGAGTCTTGGGGTCTTGGTTGCAGTGCTCAGCCCCTGCAGGGGCTGTCCAGCACTCACTCATGCTGAGGGAGCGGGCAAAGCTCTCAGCAGGGCCACCCTACAGCCAAACACAGCACTCACCTGCAAGGAACCTGAGCCAAAGGGTCTCAGGGGGTTCCTCAGCTCAGTTTGGTTTGTTGAGTCAGCAGCCTGCAGTGGCTCTCACTCTCCAAGGACTTGCCCAGCCCCACTTTGTGACCGCTCCAGTTTTTGGCCCGCACAGCAGCCACATCTGAAGGGTTCCCCAGGTCTCCATCCACTGTGCAAGGCACAGCTCCTGGTGCTTGCTCTGAGTCAGGCTATGGCCAGCTCCAGTTGATGGTGTCTCATTCTTCTTTTGGCAGAGACAGTGAGTGGTTGCTCCATATCCATCTTTATGGCACATGTAACTCTGTAGGCCTCTATTAAACCCTCCCTATCCAGCCCACTGGACTTGCAATTTCCTTTCACAGAGAAACTATTCCCTGTGTTTAGTCATCCGTTGCGTCTTTCTCTAGGTATTTTCCAGTTCTGCCATATCCTTTTTGAGATAAAGGATCAGAGTCACACTCAAAAGCAGGTGACCCAGGGATTCATAGTTACATTTATACAGCATATCCTTGCTTTTATTCCTAGTCCTCAATATTCCTACCATAAGACTGGGGTTATTTTTGCTTATTGACAATCATTGAATTGATATTTTCTTGGAAAAAAAATCCCAGTATTTTGAAGGGGGTACATGGGGATTATTTTTCCTTGTGTATTGCTTCACATCTACCTATACTCAGTCTGTTTCCCCATCCTGTCACTCTGCAGGTCCATATTGCTTTTCTGCACATTTTCTATCACCTGTTGTCTTTATTACAGTGGATATCTCACCACGAGCAAACTTTTTCACCTTGCAGCTCACCTTCTTTTCCATGTTTCTATGTGTATACACCATATGCATGCACAGGGCAGCATATGGTGTATACACATAGAAACATGGAAGGGAGGGAAGTGCACAGGAAATAAGGCAAAAATCCAAGTACGTACTCATTTATCAGTTATCCCATTTTCAGGTGGTAACGCCCTACAGCAAAATCTGACTTCCAAAAGCTAAAGAGACCAGAATCAGAAAATCAGGGCCACAGACAGGCCAGGGAAGGGCTGCCGAGTTTCAGAGACACCTTCATAGCTGCCTGTCTCTGAGTTTTCCTGCTGCCCAGAGGGAGCATCAAGCTCAGCTCCAAGAGCTCTTGATGACCTCAGGGAGGGCTTTGAGCTTTGACCTGAGGGAAAGCTGCAGGATGTAGCTGCTGAGTTTCAGCAGCTTAGGGATGTCACTACCTTCCCTGCTGAAGCTGGGGATTTCAAACTCTTTCTAAGACACCAGCTGGAATCTCACTGGAGTTTATCATAAAAACTGAGAGGACTCAAACTGTCTCTGACCTTTATACATGGGTCCCGAGCATTCAGAGTTTCACAAACGAAATCTGTCTGTGTTAAACTGTGGCAGAAAAAGACGGAAATCCCTCTGAAACCTGTGATCTTCCAGAGGCAAAGGAACTGCTCTAAAACAAACCAGCATCTCCTTCCTCCCATGGCTGTAATCCAGAAAGCAGTTTACATTAATGAGGTATCTGGCTCCCAGCTAAGCTACAAAAAGCTAAAGATGCTCAGATATGACTGTGACATTATAACATAAAACAGGGCTGATTTTGTACTGCAGAATGCCTGGGTAGCAACAGATGTCTACAGCCATGTGTCCAGACACACCAGCCTCACCTGATCTTTTCCAGTGTGCCAGCCCTCCACCCTGGAGCTGGGTACAGGACAGGCAGGAACTGTGGGTGTAAGAACAGATCTATGCCATTCTCTGGCTTTCAGCCCCAGAGTAGATATCATGTGGAGATCATACCCTGTAGGAGAAGGACCTAAAATTACCCTTGAATGACCTTTAGAAGAAGAATTTCCATTATGACAGTGCCACCATTTCTAAGTCTATTGATGCAATTTTGTGATTGTTATTAATGCCTTTCCACTGGGGCAATCCAAGTGATGACTATGGCTGTATTATGCCCTTTAAAAGCCTAATGCTTCATCATCCCTCTGCTGTGGTGCATGCCAGGTGTCTCCTGGCCTGGGAACACCCCTGAGCAACACAGTGCAAGGGAGACACAAAGGCCCAGGACAACACAAGGGACCAAACCACCTTTAGCATAAACTGGGCAATGTCTCAGAACTTAAGCACTAACCCCAGCCCCCTTCTGTTCGGGGAGCAGCACAGCCACTTCTTTTATCCTGCAGAACACAATGGGTTTGGAGCCTCCTGTGTTTCTACCTGAGAGGTTTCTGTGACAACAACAGTCAGGGCAGGGAAGCACACAGGCACATTCACACATGCAGGAGCATTTGATTTTATAGCAGGAGTTTGACAGCTGAAAAAGACTTGGATTTTCTTGTATAGGTAGCATGATTAGAACATAAATTAAGGAATTTAGGACTCTGGTCAATAAATCCTCATAGTCTCCTTCAAAGTACTACTTCAAATAAGAACATTTGTATGATTCACAAATCTGCAAGAACACACCTGGTCAAAGTTTCTCATGGCTTTTTGTTTATCTTTCTTCAAAACACCATATGCACATATGATGAGATATAAAAATATGCTATTCTCTGGTATTCCCCCGATTTCCAAATAGTAGAGTATGTAGAAAGTAAAAATTATTACTATCAGAGACCTACCTCAGTCAAAAAATGAAATTTACACCACATCACTTATTATGTTTATAAGCACTTAAAGAGAAAACAATAAATAACTTGTTACTCACAGCCAAAAGCTTGAGCACTCCAGAGGCTGGACACTAGGTGGCAGAAAAATGATACGTTCTCCAGTAACTGATAAATATTCATCCTTCTAGTAAGAAGGCAAGCCCAGGGAGTTAGAGGATGTATCTCAAATAAATTGAAGGTTTATAGCTGTCCTGCTTTTCCTAATCAGCTCAAATGAGCACAGATCCTGTTAAGGTTGTTGGGCTTTTTTGCTCCTGCAAAGCAACATTTCTCCAACAGCCCATCAATCAGGAGCCATCACAGGCAGAGGCTATGCTGAAAAAGCTGGAAAAAAGGCTTGGGAAGGAGGCAAGGAAACCGTGCCCTGCCCTTCTCTTCATGCCCTAGAGAAAAGATATACAAACCACAAATAAAATAATTAGTAAATATAAAATAACAGGCATCAGGACTTTATGAAGGCGAGCAGGAGGTTCTACATTAGTGTTTCCAATATTATCCCCTGCTCACTGGGCACATGTAAATGCAGCCTGTGGCAGGTCACAGCCATGCCCATGCCAGTGACTGTGGCATTTTGGTGGTGCAGTTTCTGGCCTTGGCCGGCTCTCAGGAGCAGAAGGAGCTCAGGCTTGCACTGGTGGGAGCAGGGCTGGAGGTTATATAGTCACGTCTTATTGCAGGCTCCTGGCTGATTTACTCATTTATGGCTTCATCTTACTCATCTTCTCTCAGCCCTGGCATCTGCTGCCTGTCACTTTTACTTCCAGGTACGAGGTGCAGAGCAAAACACACCTGCCAACTGCCCCTGCTGCAAGGAGAGAAACAACCCCCACTCCCTCCTCAAAGGAGACTCCTGGGACATAATGTTCCCACGACATCCAAACTCCCAGAACTAACTATTCAAGCACATCCTTCGCCACCCTGAGGCCTGTCCCTGAGCACAAAAAATATTCATTTTAACAAAAACCTGGGCAATTTCCAGACCAGTATTTTCAGCTTCTCTTGCTGGGGTCATCTGAGGAGAGGACCTTAAGGAAGAATTTAATGGAACCAGTAGGACCCTTCTGGATTACAAGGGACTTGCAAGCCTGCAGAAAAGCTCAGGGCTATGGGAGAAGTGCCCAAAGCTGTACCCCAAGATGTATCCCAAAATCTGTACTGCATCTGTAGCCAAGAAACAGTTTATGATGGGTTCAAGAAGTCATCTGACCTTTTGCGGCAGCGCAGGAGTAGAGCACACACAATAGAGTCTTTCTTTAGGAGGAATGAACATCTGCATGACATGAAAACAACAACACTAGGGGGGACAAAAAAAAAAAGAGGATGAACCCACATGTCACTGGTCTGCAAAATCCAATAGTGCAGGCTCAGAATTCAGCCCCCCCCAGATGGCTGAAGGGACACCAGAGCCAGCCTGCCTGGCCTGTGGGAGGAGCTGAGAAAGGAACCATCACATCACTCTTGGCCAGCGTTCAGGGAGGCACCAACTGGCTCCAGAAGAAGTCATGAGCAAGTCTCTTCTGCTACATTCTGCAAATAGACCTTTCAAAGGGATGATGGGTGAGGTAAAAAGAGGTAGAATTTGTGGAAAATCATACTCTTCAAAGACAACCTTCCTCAGAACTGGAGAAGAACCTTCTTTCATGTTTGTAGGCAATTTTCCTTGGCTCGTGATGATTGCAAACCTCAGAAAAACTGAGGTTTGCTCACCTGCAAAAGCAGCATGAGGTCTGCCCGCCCACCCACCCATCCTGACACATGGCACCACGGCTGCCATAGGACATACGCACCAGGCCTTATCCGAATGCAGGAATACCAGACCTCTCCCCTCAGAGTCAGAGCACTACTCCCAAATTTGGAGGTGCGAGCAGACAACCCTACCTAAGAAACCGATCGATTCCTCTTCCTGCACGGACACATTTTACCCCAGGATTCCAGCTAAACATGGAAAGGACTGAACCATGGGTTGGACATGGGCCATGGCTCAAAAGAACAGTACAGCCTCAGAAAGGATAAGTAAAGAAGGGAAGAAACAGAGAGGGGTTTGAAGCAGCAATGCCAGCGAAATGGACACGCAAACAGCACACAAGGGGAAACTGTGGTCACCGTAAGCATTCCTTTATGTTAAAAACTGTATCTAACCATGTCTCTAACAGCTGCAGATGATGGCAATTCAAACATCAAGGTTTGTGGCTACCAGTGTGGGAGTGAAGGTAATGTGAATGGCAAGTTGGGTCATATGGGAACTGAGAGCCTGTTGATTAGTGACTGCATGACTGGAAGCCTGCAAACCCTGCTCAGTCCAGGACCTGCAGGTTCTCAGCTGCAAAGGAAATCAAGTGCCCCTTATTTATGGCCCAAGGCTAGATCAATGCATTGGGGACCTTGTGGTAATTTTAAATTCAGTTCCTTTGGTCAACTCCAAGTCTCTCTTATAGCTGAGTCACTTGGTTTCAAAGTGTTGTTTCCAACTCCTTGCAGGGCTGTCTTCCTGTCCCACGTCCTCTCCAGTCCCACCCTCCTTGCATGTGCACCCGCTGTCCTGTGCCTCAGCCTGCTCTTCCTCCATGCTGTCCCACTCCTTGCCACTCTTCCCCCCTTTGTCTCTACCTCACTTCCTTCCATTTTGCCTCTCCACTGCCTTCACCCTTCTCAACTAACCCTTTACTGTCACACTGCAGACTTCCGTAAGTTTGGACAAGCTTCTTTTCCAAAATGGGAAGTGGTAAACCACCCTACAACTACAAACAGACCGTCTTCTGGTAAAAATCCTGTTACTTTATCCCCTCCCCTTTCTACCATCTTACTTTTGTTTGTCTTGGCTGACCTTTTGCCTACTCTTAAACTGCAAACTCTTTGAGGGCAGTGCCAGAATCTGGTCTGGATTCTATAAAGCACCTAATATGCTAAATATTACAAAAGGTGCAGTTTATTTTCTTTCTTTTTCTTTTGATTTTCAATAAACTCACTGAACATCCAAGTAAGCAGGAGTTTAAGTAGACAGACATATGTGTCTTATCAACAGGAAGTTTCTCTTGCATAACTTCTCTGGCAGTTCTGGAAAGCTAAATGCGGGTGCATTTTTCCTCACTGAAAATTAACACTCAGGAAAAAAAGTGAACCCATAAAGAAAAATCATTTCTGAGAAAGGAGATTCCAGAAAGAGAGATGATTTTTAGCACGCAGAGCTGTCCTTGTGAAACATCTGCTATGACGTAGTCCTGTTCTGGCTGCAGACCAAGCGTATCAATAGCTCCATAGAGTAATGGGATAAGAAATGGGAAAATTGCCATTGCTTGTTTAGCAGCTTGTTTTGCTGATAAATGTCTGTCACTTTTCAAATAGCTACAGTGCAATTGTTTTTTGGGGAAAATATTTCCTTGAGCAGGAGGTTTTCAGGCCATTAGCTACTTCCCATCTGTGCTGGTGTTTTAATACATGTTTTAATACACCGCACATACACTTTGCTCCTTATTAGAAATTCACAGCTTTTGATTATGACCAGGCAGCCTGAAGTTTAGAAATCGTCTGCCACTAAAAAAATTTCTCTTGCCTTACTGAAAATTTAAATCTCAAAATCATTAGAACCAGTATGTACTAGTTGAAAGAGCATCTACTTCTAAACATTGCTAGGGGGAAAAAAGTACTCTTTCTAGACATCTGTAGTTTTAAAATAATGAACGACTGTATAAAAGCAGGAGCTGACTAAAGTGGTGGCCACTGTGTGCTCATTCCATGGCCAGAGGCAGAATGTCAGCCAAGCAGTGCAATGTGCTGAAATTCATCTCATCCATTTCAAACTGTGCCATAAACATTTTTTAATTCCCTCTGATAGCTGCTAGGACAGACAAGAGACAGACCTCTGTTTAATATCACAAACTACGTCTAACAGTATCTGCTTTCACTTCACACACTTACACAAAACAGGCAATGACTTGCAGTAAATTAAGTGTGCCAAAAGAGGCACAACTGCGCTGTAGCTGCATCAACTGAAATGCTAGATGTATGCATCTCAGTGAGAGGGTGACACCCCAAAACGATTCCTTTTTAGCAACTAGCCTCCTTTCTTTCCCTTCCTCTCATCAGGATTAAAAAGAAAAAAAAAAAAAAAACCCAGAAAACAAAGTTGAGACGCAAAAAAAAACCCCAGAAAACAAAGTTGAGACATAGAAACATGGATGGTACTATTGCAGATTTGTTCCAGGGATATACCTGCTTTGTCACCTGAATCCTTTGCATTTTTTTCACTCAAAAGATTCACATGAAGTTTCTATACTAACTAGTTTTTAGACACCACAGAATAAACTTAAGGGAGAAAAAAAAATTCAGCATTAGAAAGTGCCCATGGAAGTATGAATACAGGAATGGATCCAAGCTTCCAAGTGAAGTCCTTCACGGTGGGAAACTTGCACCATAATTTACCACTTGGACTACACAGGCAAAAGGACCAACACAGAGACAGTGACTACTTTTCAGAATTTATTGTAAAAAATAGTATTAAACAATAGGAAAAATACCCTTTTTCAATCCACCCCATACTACTTTATGTGGGAACAATGGAAAAATTTGACAGAAATGTATTTATCCATTCCTATCCATATATCGGATGATTCCAGCTACTCAGGATATGCTCATGGGAAAAGTATTGGCAGTATCACAGCATATGGAAGTGGAAATAAAAAACATGCAGTATTTTCAATTGCAGTTGGGAGGCCTATTTCCTGGAGTCTAGAGATCATGTTGTTTTATCTGTTTTCCTTTAGCATTATGTACATTATCAGACTTTCATAACCTCAGACACCAGCATAAAGCCCTGATTTTTTGCCAACAGTGACATACCCCCCTCAAAGATAAATGTGGAAACCAGAATGACTGCCTTACTTCTGTTTGCAATTTCCTTTCCACAGGAACATGCACATGATATAGTTCCTGCTAACACATATTTAAAGCTTGGCTAGCCCTTTTCCACTTATACCAGTTCAAGCCCACTGGAGGTCCTCAGGGCAGCACAAACAATGGAGAACAAACTTCCAGCATTGCAACACATTTGTTCTGGCCAAAAACTGCTTGTCCTAACACTAAATTACATACTTTGTATGACAACTTCTTTTGTCTACAAACAGAAATATGTCAGATTTTGCATTAAACTGTATTACAAAAAATGTAAAACAATACGTTCCACAATTATTTTCTGTGGATTTCCTAGCTCATCTCAAAACTGTGAAGAACCAGTGTTAGTTCAAATGGAACTCAGTTTTAACATAGACCCAAAATGGCAGGTGACAGTAGTATTTACCTGGTGCAATTAGCTTCATTATCAATTGGCAAAAAGTTGACTTAAGTTTCATAGTTTAAAGCACAAATCAGAGAAAACTTGAATTACATGTCACTGTTGAGACCACCCCAGTCTCAAGTCAAGGGATGCACTTACACACAGGTGCATTGTTGTAGGTGTGACATGAGTACAGAACCCAAATACTCAGAAAATAGGTCAGCAGAAACCTATGGATAATGATAAACAACAGCACCCAACCATTTTTTTTCTACTGCTCTGCTTGATGAAAACTTGCACCAACAACTGTTTGCGGTGCGTCACACAAATGACAGTCACTGTCATTAGTAGAGTAGAGTAGTAGTAGAGTGCAGGGGAAATTTTGGTCATTCTGAAAGAAGATACAATGGAGCAATACAGGAAATTCCATACCAAGAGGCCAAAGTCAAACATTTCTTCTCTTGCACATCATAAAAGGTATTTTTGGTTACAAATTACCACTGCAAACAGCCTTCTCAAAGATAAAACTAAAAATGTCTCTACCTAAAAAGCTTTGAGAGGGTCAAAACCCCACAAACCGTAACTAGAGAGCTTTCTCTAGGTCCTCTTCTCTTCAGAGTAGCAAGAGCTTCCCAGTTTTAGGGAATCCCCTCCTCTTGGTCAATCAATTCCGTTTTGGTGGAGAACACATCAGCCAACATGTGCTTTGGGATTTCGGATCCCCGTACTTTTAACGTGTAGCAGGCATTCTCTACTTTTGCCAGACTCTGTTTCAAGGTATAGAGCTTCTTTGAGACTTCGTAAGGTCCAGTGTTGCCAATGAAAGTGAACCCATCGTAAATCTGACGCAAGAACTGGCTCAGTTCGAAGGGCGTGTCTATGTCCCCGTTCCCAACGCTGCTGATGCACAGCCGCATCAGCTCTCCCGTCAGATCAGCCACTCCCAGCAGGTAATCCACAGGGGTCACCTTCAGGCTCCACGTATGGGGCTGTTTGTCATGGGAATTGGAGGTCTGGGGACAGAATGGAACAAAGTCCAGTACAGAAAAGTGTGAGAAAGCCATCTGTAATGGTTCAACACGCTAACTCATCTAACATAACTGGAAATTTAAAACATTTTGGAAAATTAAATTGCATGGCACTTCCACATGGTCTGATTTCAGAAGTACTAATCTCCTTCCAGTACTAATCTCCTTCCATATAAGAAGGTAATTTCTACTTGAGATGTCATTTTCATTCTAGCAAGTATGATAAACATTCCCTAACTCTACCATCTATATTTGCAAGCAGAATTACCACATCTTTGTAGCAACATTTATTTGCAGTTGTTTGGGGTTTTCTTTCATTTGACAGATCTCAGCCTGATAGATTTTTTTCCTAAATAGTTGGTCCAAAGTTAGCAAATCAGTCAAAAATAGTCTGCATTATGAAAACAAATAATATAATTTCATAATGGTGTCTTGAATTTCAAAATATATTCTCTACAAGTAGCCATAGTATTCTCAGATCTGTTTTATATCAACTGAGCTTATTAAAATAACAAACAAAAATCTTCATGAAGCAAACCCATTGCAAAGCTACAAGTTTGCTCCAATATCCAAGTTTCCAATACTTTTTATTGCCAGAATATTGGTAATGTGGGAGACAATGCAGGTTTCTTTCTGTTCACTTGTTCCCACAATATGCTATCTACCCAAATATGCTATCTTTGACAGATCTGGTCAGAGGCATGCACGCTGGGGTTAATAACTTCATAGTTGGTACCTCTGGTGAAAAAAGCTAAAAATAAGGCTTCTCTGCAAATATCATACCAAAAGAATAAAGAAAGAATGAGA